AAAAGAAAATTATCCATTGAAGATGATAATAATAATAATAACAACTAGTACGATTAATCATTATCGATATTATGTCTGTTTAGACAATAATTTATTAGTCTTCTCGGCTGTCCTTACTTTTTTCTTTCACTCTCTTTCTCGTTCAGTTTGTACATTACTCTGTATCCCGGGTTCTTTAACACCAAATGTTAGAAAAAAAGGACGCTTTTGTTGTGCGTTCGACTAGTTGGTATATAGCCTACGTTTTTTTCTCTTCTTAGTCAACTCTTTTATCATTATTATAATTTTCGTTGAAATAGTGTTATGCTTTCAATTGTTGCTGTATATAAATACATCCGTTCAATTCTTTGACCTCATGATTAGCTATAAATGAGTTTTGACATTCAACTACATGTCTGTGTGTTTTTTTTTCTTTTCGACCATGAATTCATTTGTTGTAAATAGTTCTACTCTTATTCTCTTTGTTTTTTTCCATTAATTTCACATGAATTTGGTATTTTGTTAATTTTGTTATTTCGGATTAGTCATTTTACTACTCTGCCACTATTATTATTACTACTACTATTGCTAATAATAGTAGTGTGTTAAAAAGAGGCAAACCAATGAATGTATCTAAACAATGAAAGATGAACAATTGTCTTTTCTAATAATAATTTTTTTATTATAAATTGTAATAAAATATTAATGGCGGTAAAAAGACAAGATTGACAAGCGTAAATAAAATTAATGATAAAATGTTAAAATGATAATTCTAAGTAAAGTAAAATACCAAAAATATTCATTGTATAGATTATTTATAGAAATAAAGTATATTTTTGACTTATTAGGAAGTATTAGTTTGTACATGATAAGATTTGATAATAAGAAATGCGGTAGAGCACAATTCCGTATAAATATTTAACAGTAGATGAGACTAATTATTGTAATATTCATTGACATAAATGTGGTGTACTTTGTTTATTCCCCATAATTAAAATTACAATTAGATCCTGAAATATCAAATAAATATGATCAATCAGTTAGTGAGGTTGTAAATTTTTATTGGCTAAAAATTAGGGTATATGTTATGTAGGCCTAGTATACCATTTAGATCAGCGAGTAAAGTTGATTAATATTAGAGTATATATTGAGAAAATGTTTGCAGCGGTCAAACCAAGTCATAAGATTTGTCCATAAAGTTATTAAATGTTGGAAAATATTTTAGCGCAAAATGAAGATTGTGGGTGGGGTGTGTTTTGTTTATTAATCTGGATGATTAAGTTGTGTTTTGTTATTTTGCGGAAGCTTATTTCGTGAAGACATTTCTACATTTTCAATAGCGAGTAGTGTGTTAGAATAGTCTGATTTCCATATGATGATGAGAACAAAATATCTTAAAAAGTCATTAGTTTTTGGTTTAAGCTATACCAATAGGTATGGACTTCCCGGTAGAGGTCATCAAGATAGTCTTTACATACGGACATTGAGACTTATCAGGATACCCCTCAAAGTTCGTCAAATTGATACGGATGTATTTTCACACTATGTCTATTATCAATCCATATTGAAGATTTCTAAGATAAATATCAAATAGGAAATAATAATTTGCTTAGTTAGATTTATATTCTGCTTAATAAGAATACTCAACCAGTAATAATCAATTTGAAATAAAACTCGAATTCAACGTTTAATTCCATAGGTAAAACGTTTTCTTTACTTTTCTATGGATTTTTGTCAGTAATGTTGATTCATTAGAAATGGTCATATTTTACGGTTTACCTCTTCAATGACAATTCAAGTTAAACCTTTACGTTCTTTTTTTTGAAAAGCTTGTCCGCAACACTTATCTCGAATTACCTTTTAAAATTAGTGGTTTAATGTGGACTGAAATTAGTTGAAAGAAATATTGAAAATAAAGGGGAAAGCTAAATCGATATTTCGTCCTACTTTTTGCGCTAGATTAATGCAGTCCACATTAATGACCCAATATATAAAATTAAATGTTAGTTGTTTGGGAAGTAGTTGTTAGGAAACTCTGGATCTACGTTTTGAGCTGACGGACACCCGTTAGTAAGACGTGCCTGTAATCTTGATAGGATTAATGTCCCCTGTAGAATTTTCACTGAGTTACTCACCTTTATTATCTGAGATGTTATCTATCAGTGAGCGTTGGAATTATTTAAATTTCAGTCGCTGATATTATTTCAAATATAATTTTCACATATAATACCAATGGGCTAGTCGGGCCTCAACTGACTTCATATATGATTCAGATATTTACAGTCAATTAATTACTAATTAGTGACATATCGTAAATATGAATGGAATGAAGATCCCATCATTAAAATAATACATTTAACCTATTAATTGAAATTCCAGTGAATCGCTATTTGAATTTACATCAGTTATGAATTATAGTACAGTCTCCGTTCACAATTTCATTTAATAAATTCCTATCACATTGCTGATAGTGTTGGATTCTAAGGTTAGCACTTTTTTGATAAAACTACTCATCAGTAGAGAGATTATTATCATTATTACTCAAGTGATGTCAAATAGTTTCGTGGACATGTTATACGTGAGACTGATCTCGTATGTGGTTGTTGTTGTGATCTTATGTGCAATCTCAAGCAGTGAAAAAAGTTCTTTTTTTCTAATATTGGCTCCTGATTTTAGGAAACTACTTTTAAATTGTGTATGAAAAAGTCTTCACTAAATGCACATACTTCAATAATGATAAGAATAGAATGATTTATCGACCCAACCCTTTTGTTACATAACTGTGCGGATAAATGGCAGTGCAAGTATGGACAACGCTTGGCCTTTTTTCTGTCATTATTGTAAAAAAATGGAAAGGGAGAGAAAAAATCATTTGTTAACTTAATTTTAGAAGGAAATAATGACATTTTTCAAGATAACTTATGAGATATTTGTTAATTTTTGTGAAAGGTTAGTTTTCTGTAAAACATATCTCAGAAAATAGACTGTCAATTCAGTAAACAGTAATATACTACACTTTTTTTCAAAAAAAAGAAGAAAATAGATATTTTGTGTATCCTTTAGAATTCTATAATTTTATTTTAAGAAAATAGAATAGAAGGATGAGAATCGAAAACGAACAAAGAAACTAAATGAATAATAATGAAATTAATCACTGTCACAAGTCATACACAGTTAAAAATGTACTGACATTCATAATTATGAATAACTTGATGATATTATTTACAAATATATACTGGAATTCTATATAATAGGACATGACAGTAGCTCAATGTAATGCAATTAACTCAATCTTTCAATTAAATTAATGAATATGATGTGTATAAAGGTTTCATCAGTATGTTTGAAGAAAGAAAGTATGATTAATTTTTCAGAACTCTTAAATATATATGTTGTGATTTTGGGTAATGACATATTCGTTAGATAAAGTGCAGAATATTTCTGAATAAAATTTAAACAAATTTAGGGGTGTAACTCCAAAAGAAAACTTATGAAGTCATTCTTAGTGTAACGCTACATGCATCCATAAAGTCTATAGTTTCACAGATATTCGACATCGATGCTTATCTTTTTAGCTTTAATAAACTTAACTAGTTATGGTAGAGCGGTTAGTCATCTAAGTCTGTTCTTGTTACCACTCACACGAGACAAACCATTTTTGAAGTTTCTCACTTGTCCACCTATGCACCTGATTTAATTAGTATATTATTTTCCCTCACCATTACTAATTTCATATTTATCGACTTTCCACTGGGTTTAATGCATGTAATTTGAGTATACCCTTTAAAATTTTTTATATTTGTACTGCTAAAGTCTACTGTTTTAATTTATCTGATATGAAACATATCAATGAAACATGCTTGTATTCAAGGTATGGAATATTAATTATTTATAAGATTTTATCAACTTTCTAAGTAACCGGTCATCATCAGTTAAATATCCATAATAGCGCCTTCTAAAAAGTATTACTAATGACCTATTAGTTATGAGTGATTGCACGTTCTAATTTCTAAACAGCCTTCTTTTTCTAAACATAATATCCATTTAATTTATTCAACTTTGGAACTGTGAAATAATATGAACACTCTTTCGTATTGATTAAGAATCAATTCAGTAAGCTGAAGAAATTGTTTAAAAAAAAATTAGTTTGTCCAACTTGTTTGGAATTTCAACTTTGATCAGTTATTGAAGAACCTAAATCGTTTCAATTTTCTTTATCTAGCAAGTAAATATAAGTGGTCTGTTTGTTCTTTACATCTATTCTCACTAACCAGTAGAAGATGTATAAACGTATTTCAAATCACATCATAATCATCGTTTTCTGAAATACAACGAAATCAAGGCATCAACCATTCATTAGATAATAAAACTAATAAGGATCCATTCACTTCTATTGTTCCTGTGACAAAATATCTATATTGACCACAAAAACCTTTGTTTCACTCCACTCATGATTCGGTACGTGTGTGCATTTTTAAGTAGCCCTTAAAATCTAAGGTGAATTAGTTGTCCAATACTCTAGTTTTTGTTATGTTCTCCCCTGTAATTGTTTTCTGTTCATAATATCGTATCAGCTCTATATATAATTCATTTTCATTTAAATCATGAAGCAACCAATGTTAGACCACCATTAAAGTCTGGAAGCACTGGACGGCCGTCTCGTTCTAGTGTGGGACTCTTCAGCAGTGTGAGTCCACGACCCCTCGCGTTGAACTTAAGTCCAGGACCTTCGGTCTGACGCATGAACGTTTAACTCTTAAGCTACTGAGCCGGCATCCAACAGTGTTTATATCTGGCCCCAGTCAATCCACAATATTACTTCACTATCTATTGCTTTCAGTGAGTAACTGCCCTATATCCGACTCATCTTAACTTTTCACTAGAACTCTGGGAATTTCCTGTCGAAGCTAGTCACTAGTGAACGCATGATAATTGTCAGTTATTTATTTTACTTTGATAATGTATAAACAGTAACAGAACGATTTGTCTGTTGGCTATTTTCCTGTTCTTTATTATTTTAGGTGGACCTTGTTTTCATAATGTGGACTTTGCAGCACAATTTCTTACAGCCTATATGCATACTCATAATCATAATTTATTACAAACTATTCTTACTGTACAATCAATTCGACCTGATACATCATCAACATCGTTATTTGAAGAGGAAAAACGAATTCGTTATAAAATTATGGATATATCAATATATATCACATCATTATTAATTTGTATATTATTTTTAGTATTTTTATTCGGTGTATTATTTACTGTGAATCATTTTCAACGTCAACGTGCCAATTATCATTTACGTTCAACTGGATCATTTCATACTAGTGGACGTTTAGGACAAAAAATGATTAAAAAAGTTAGTTTGTTAAACAGTTTTTATTAATCTTTAAAAATGAAAACATTGAATATTTGGTATGTTTTAAATGGTAGCTAATAGTAAAATCCAGGTCGGTTTTTTAACATATATATGTTTGAATATCAACGCAAAGTTAGAGGTATACAGGTAGCCCTAGTTCAAATTACAATCGATCTATAAAGGTGAGCAACATCACGGTATCCATTCATGCTTTTTAACCGCTAATAGAGACTGATCAAACTTACTTTCAAATGTCAACAGCATCAAATACAAACTCGAAGAAATAACAACAAATGCTGGGTACTTTGTTCATGATAAAAATGATATATTTTATAATTATCACAGTGTTATGGAAAAATAAAATTCCGATAATTAGTGGCCTTGTTTCAATCGCTTCTTCAGAGAACAGGTGTTTATATAACTCATTCTGTAAAAATGATGGCTTATATGAAGTGACAAAACATTAGAAATTCATTGTTTTATTCATTGAAATAACTTATTTAATATTCAAATTATTTGGAACATGTTTGTTCAAAGAAAGGCAGTTTCCTTTTGTTATCATCAAGGGGAATGGATTCTAATCTAAGTGAACAAATAGTTATAGTGATAAATGATAAAAGGATCCTAATCATTTGGTCTAGTCTAGTCTAGTATAGAGGATGGTCGTCAAAACACGTCAAACTAATGACAATAAGCTTCTTGATTAACTAGCTCTTGTGCATATTTAGCAAATATCAGTTTATGATTAAAGTAACCTTTAAATAATACAAAAAGTTACTGAACGTAATTCACTAATAACCGTAAGCTAATTCGTGATTAACTTCAACAGTTCTTATACGCTAAGTATAATCATTAGAGTTCGAAATCAGTTAGTTACTCTCACCGATAAGATGAAATGAAAATCGTATTTAATCATAAATGAACTAGGTTTAAAAATTTTACAGTTGACTGTAGCCCAAATGCCGTTCAATACCATTAAACACCGAATATCGTCTTCAACATTGCTCATTCATGACCCTACCGGAAATAGAACTCAGAACCTCCATGTTTCGTCATTTATGTTTAAACAATAAGACTACTGAGCCAATATATTATTGTTCATTTTGTCTAACTTCAATCAATCCTCACTATTGAACAACTAACTTCTAATGTCATTGGTGTGCAACTACCTCACATCCAACATGGTTGAATTCTATTGATCACAACTTCTTACTAAAACTCAACAAATTACTTCTTAAAATTAATTACTAGTGAGCATATCGTTATTATTAGCATAGAGGATTTATGTAGACTATTAACTATAAAATATAAAACAAATCTGAAAATGTCAATTTAGTAGTAATAAATTTTGAAAAATTAATATTTCTATATTGTACTCGTTGTGACCCTACTGCATGTTGCTGATCGTGTAGAGCATTGGTTTGAAATTCATCATTTTGTAATTATTAAATTAAAACTTTATTTCTCTCATATAATATTTATAAACACTATGAATAAAATTATTCCTTGGTTATGTATTTATTTATAATGCATATCGAAACGCTGGTATGATAGGATGTCAAGCAAAAATGTAATAAACAAATGAAATGATAATTTTTTGAAGAAATAGAAAAGCAAGGAGTGTTAAAATTTATGAGTAAGGAAACCGGAATAGTATCGAGTAAAGAATATAGCTTAGTTAGAAATACGGTCAAGTACGGTCTTTTTTCAGTTGAGGGGTTCGTTTAACGTTTGTGAAGAATTTATCAGAAAACTACAGCACGATCGACACTGGCTTCTGTGTTGAGCTATATCTGAAAAAGTCTAAATCCATTGAGTTGTATTATCTCTAGAACCGTAACCGGGAATTCAGCATGAGCTGACAAATCTCAATCCTACATAGAGTAATCTTGCGTACCATAGGATCATTTAATGAACTAACCACCTAACCGCTTTTCCTGTCCAATTCTAGCACATAATGAATGGTATGGAAATCACTAAGATAGCATTTGTAAAACATTTCCAGACCACCGAACTCAGTATTTCAAGATGGTGCGAACAATCGGACTCACACATCTGGATCACGGTATTACTAACATATTATTGTCACTGCACATGAGCAATCCTTTAAAGACATAGTTGACCGAACACGAAGTTTTCAAACATCCTGAATAATAAACGAATTGTGGAATCAAGTAACTGCCTAGCCCCACTTATTAAACTTAAGTAATTAAGGTTACAGTGGCCGAATACCCTCGCTCTGCCCAAGACGCTTATGTGTATAAGCCTTTCACAATGTTGATAAACGTCTCAGATAAAATCAATTAATTAATAGAAAATTAATGATGATAACAGCTGAGATAACTCTAAACTTTTAAAAGACAAGATTTCATTTCAGATATTTTTTGTTTAAACTGCTTTTCATTTCAGGTTCTTAAAGCAAAAGTTTGGTATCCAAGTCCTGGCCTAGTCCGTAATTCACGAATAGTTCACAATTCACCCAATAATTATAACAAACCTTCAAAATTCACTAATGATCCTACTAAGTATTTATCATTAAAGCTACCAACGCTGGAACAACAGTCAATAACTACAACAACAACTACTACTTCATATGACGAACAAACAAATGATGTAAACATTAAAAATAAATCTGTTAGTGAATTAGAGAAATGTTTAGATATGCTGCAAGGTAGAGCTTATGATACTACATTGTCTTGTGCAATGACAATTGATAATAAAGTGAGTACTAACCAACTGTTTATGATTCCATTAATCTTCAAGGATTAAATGTATATTCCTAAAACGTTCTCTTGAAAGATTACTGAATGACATCAACCCTGTAAAATGGAATAAATTTACTCGGTAACGATTATGAGAATATAGTCTGATCATTAGCTTTTTTCTCAGGTTATGGTGATTTATTATTAGAATTTTGGTTAGTAAGCTGTGAAAATGAACAAATAAAGTAAAATAGGTAACTAGAACGAAATCCTTATGCAATCACAACATAAATAATCAAATTATCTTGATCAAATCTCATAGTCGTCTAGATTATTCATGAGAATTAGAAAGCCAACAGTTATAAAACAGATCTAGTGCAACAGAAGATAATAGATAGGATCAATTTCGATAGGTCATGAAGACAGAGATAAGTATGATTGGGAAATTGTTGCAGATATCACAATGAGAATAAATATAAAACTTGAAAACAGACAAAATATCTACACAAAATTAGGGAAGATAGATACACTTGTAGAACATATTAAACAATTCGTTTGATTTGAGATTTCCTTATATTTCCCCTATCATCTTAATGGTTGTTTTACATCTATAATTTGACCGTTATAAAAAAAGATATTCAGCTCTTGTTATTGCTTTTTTTGACTATACATTATTCTCGGTGAACAGGAGATAACATACACAAATGCATTAGCTTAATTGTGAAAGAGAACTTTATACCTTTCATGACTATCATTTGATTATTTACGTTTTTGTTGATAATATCCGGTTTTTTCCTTAAAAATTACTTAAGTTTGATATGACAACACATTGGGAATAAAATTTTAATTTTATTGTCAACTAACTTGATAATGTTTAGTAGAATGATGAAGACGTTTCAGCGAAGGAAATTTCCTTTCCGACGATATTATTTCCTGAAGCTGTACAGTTGTATTAATATGTAATTTTTACATGTAGTATTCCATAGTAAATTAGATAAGTGTTACAAAATTATAAAGACAGTCAAACTTATTCAAGTGCAGGTCAATGAAAATGAAGTGGTGTTGCATAATATGGTTGAGATTATCAAAGTATCCAAGTATTTCAAGTAATAATTTATAGATGGAAGTATGTTGTTTTAGTGTAATTAATATTTTTAGGTATTAAATAAAAAAGGGGTTGTATCACCTAGCAACGTGGTCGAAAATTGTCGAGCTTGTGTTATGTAATATTGTTGGAGGTAATAAAAGGTAAGAACCAATGAGACAAAAGATAAAGATAACTGTCCATTTAATAAAGGAGAAGGTAATAATTAGCAATTATAATTCATAAAATTAGAACGGGTGCTTAGGTCATGAGGGAATTAGAGATCGAACGTGACTCTTGTGTATACAGAGTTCGGCGTTGAGATGGTAAATTGCTATAGCCTTGGCTGTGCACAAATTCCTTATCCGAACCTCTTTTAGCCAGTTCTTCTTACATTGTTGAGGATTTTGGACACAGGTTCGTGTGGTATTGCATGGCCTTAATTGACTGTGTGTTGGAGAACTGAGCTGTTGATTGATTTGTGTAACCGTTTGGATAATCATACAGTATAGTACATATTTATTTACCAAGTGTGCTCTTTGTAAAGCCAGTGTAGCCTGCTCCACATGAGCAAGTAAGCTGGTAGATGTATATTGAACTGACCCGAAGCGGCTCATCAGCAAGTGTATCTGCATTGCATATTCGTCTGGCTCTTGAGGATAGGGTATGAATTAAATTTTTCTTCCTACTCAGAGGCACCCAACTCTTGAAGTTCGTATATTGCTCATACCAGGTTGATTTTCTTTATAACGATCGTTTCAGAGACTTATCGAATCTTCGTTTTCGTAGAAAATGAACGATGTGGATTTCTGAGTTCAACTCTGCTTCTATTGTGAACTTAATCGAGTGGTGACAAATTTTATGATTTGTAATCATACCTTATTGATTATGACAAAATCACTGATATGATAAAAGTTACTGGGATAACTAGTGTGATTGAATTAATAATTTATTTTGGGGATCTTTCCTCATATTCCAACTGTGAAAGAATCTCAAACGAAGCCACTGACTTAGTATATATATATATATATATATATATATATATATATATATATATATATATATATATAAGGGATGTCTGATTGTAGAGGCAAACAGCAGGCATCCCAGAATCTGGATTTCTTGCTAGTTGATTGTCGTTAACATAGTGTATCTGTATTCACTGGAAAATTGATACTCCTCGTGGATTTAGAACTTACATCACTCAAGTAATCCCAATCAATACGATCACGGTTTAGTACTCAGTAATTAGTCAGCTTATGTACCATTATGTAACTAGAAATGATAATTATACCACAGAAAATACTTGTCTCATTCTGCATAACGTAAAGGATAACAAATGATTAACTAATAATCAAAATGATGATCACGAAGTAAAATAAAATGATCTTTCATTTTTGCCCAGTCATTTCATTTTAGTGAGAGTAAAATTTAATAATCTGTCATAATTCTGATAATGTGTGATAATTCATTAAAATATCTTTTTTCTAAGGTATTCATCAATTAACTCCTGTCATCATACCATACATATTTATTTATAATGACTCAATACTTTTGAAATAATTCAGTGTTAGTTATATGTACTTGACTATTTTTACATAAGTGTAGAATATCAAGTGGTGTTGGAATTCTTGGAAAAACGCACAAACCCACATATTAACAACTTATTTTGATGTGTTATTATCATATGTGTTGAACGTGAGAATTGTAGATAATTAAAAAAACGGAATTGTAATACCATTTCCAACCACATCCTCTCAACAAACGTCATATATATATATATAGAAATAATACTGGCTAAATTTATTATCAGATTGTAGTACAATAGTCATCTGATATCTTCAGTTAATTAGAAAGAAAATTATCATTCAAAAGAATATAAAAATTTGTAGTGTAAAATACTATGGTTAGTATAACGGAAATAATGCTCCTTGTGGAGGAGCATAGACTGCCTACCAGCATTCTCTATCCAACCCTGTCCTGGGCAATCCTTTCCAGTTTTTATTCATCCTTTTCATATTGGCTTCGATTTTCCAACGTAATTTGTTCTTTGGCCTTCCTCTTTTCCGTTTTCCTTCAGGATTTCAAGTTAGCGCTTGTTTTTTTCGGTGAGGAGGAAGTTAAAATTATAGTATACTATGATTATTATTATTATTGTTAATACTACTATTACTTACTTACGTCAATAATAATAATTATTGTTAATCTTATAGTAGTGTAGTAGACGAGAATACGGGTGGGAACAACCAAATTACAGAATTTTGGTAAAATATGTGAACCATACATTGATTGCATCATTTGCGAATTTCCAATATTTGTCCTTCACATTCTATTTGATTCTTCCTATTCTCGATTAATTTCTATTTCTGTTTCTATTTCCGCTTCAACATGGTCTTCTAAACCTTCTGCTACCAGGGTTCCCACTTCCGATTGGTGTACCATACTACTTATGTCTGTCAACATGGGACACATACATCACAGTAGCAATAATAATGATGGTATTTTGAGTTTCATTATTACTTCATATGTACCCTTTCATTTTGTATTCCTAAACTGTATTCCTTCTTCTCTAGCCTAAATTTTACCTTAGAATTAATAAAATAGATCTTTCTGACCAGGTTTCTTGAAACAATTTATCAGATTTCTTTTGTTTTAAATTGGATAAATAAAATGTTAAGAGAACACAAATCTAATAATGATATGACCAAGTGTTTTGAAATAAAATGACATAGTTCATCGGACATTCTGTCGTCATATTTGTATATTTATCGATATTTCATTGAATATCTTATTGAATTTTTGTCATAATTAAAGATAAAAGGATTGATAAATGTGAATTATAAAATTTCCATTAACAATCTCTTTTATCGTAATATGTTACCAAACAAAAGTGACATAGAAATATTTCTTTTATTAGTTATAATTCCAAGTGATTTATATTTCTAATTTGATATATAACATTTTTCATGGTGCAAATGTAATTTCAAGTTTAACCTCTTTCATATATGTTATTGTGAGAAAAATGTCATAACTTTTAATGTCTATAATGAAGTTTATGCTACTTGAACTATATATTCTAGTATTTTTCTTTAAAAAAAAGCCTTTGATGGAATATCAGTTAGTCATAAGAGAGAACTTCGGACATATATATTTGATGAATTCAAGGTACTGTGCCATCTCAGCATAGTGAAATGTAATTATCAAAAAGAATCTCGTAATATTAGATGTTGCAAAAGTATTTTTTTGTAGTAGAAGAGACTAGGCATTGACAATATGATTTAGGAAGGAAGAATGAATCTGTGAAATAAAAATTATAAGTGTTTTAACATAAAGGTGAGTGTGTGTTTGTTATTATGGGTGTTATTGAGCAATGCCATAGTAAAATAAACCTTGATTATTACAACTGTTGACGAGAATTATCTGACAAGATTTTTATTAACTTCTATTAATTACATGTAAAATATCCTATTGCTCCTTTTTTCACGATTTATTTCATGTCTTTTTTCTTTTCTCGCAGAATTCCATTTCACTAACACCATCTTCACCTTGTTCACACAATCATTATGACGTTAACAAAACATCTGATTTCGGTGATATGAATACTAAATTTACACATAATCATATTCCTTCGGCTCTAATTAAATATACTACTACACATACATTTACAATGCCAGTTTCATGTATTTCACAAAATTATCTCTGTAATTCATCATCACTATCCTCAACAGAACACCAACAAAATCAACGACAGCATTATTCATTTATCCCGATGTTAGAATCCACTGAATACGATCATAGTGGCAGTCCAAGTAATAGTACAATGACAACTGCTATAAATATGAATAGAACAAATAATTTCAATGATTTCGATTGTCAACAAAGTGAAAATACTGACAGTTTTAATAATAACAGTAATAATTTCCAAACTATGCAAGAATTATGTCAATTTTTAAGTTCCATTACACAATCAGAACTGAATAGTTTTCAGAAAATCCTACAAAAGACCATACTTGATTACTATGGTTCAAAGGAACTATTAGAGATGAATAGTTATGAGCGATATCAACAGAAGCAACAACAACGGCTATGTACGACATTTTCCGGATTACCAAATCCAGCTTTAAACTCCGAAATCAATAATTCTGATTTTAATATAGTCTGTCATCTTCTTACTCAAAATGATGAATCAAACACGATGCGAACGATGCTGCATAATTCTGTGGACTCAATGATTTCTTGGCAAATGATATACAATTCTACCCATTTGCATCGTCTACTGAATCTTCGGATTCCAGACACCGGTGAAACATTGCTTCATATATCTGCAAGGTAAACCTCCACTCATGCATTTTTCTTTTATGTAAGTAGGTGAACTACTTAACTACAAAAAAGTAGTTAAATGTTATATTAAACCTTTTGTAATCTTAAAAAAACCACATGATAGATTTTGTGATGGACAGATTTTCCATTATAGGATGATGATGATGAAAGTTTAGCCTAATCAGAAGTATTTTGAGGTTGGTTTTATTCTGAATCCACCGAATACTTATTGACAATATACACAAACAAATATCAGATTTTTTAGGCAATGTTCTCATACGTACATTCCTACTTTTGTAATCTGTTTGGTGAAAAAATACAAGCCATGCATGTGAGATGGGGATAAAATTTTAAATACAAAACAATAAACTTCCTAAGTTTTCTACTAATAATATTAGCCGCAGTTTGGTAATTTTCCCGATAAGTGGAAATTGTATTATTTTCTATCTTTACTGTTTGCTTCTCTGAAAGCAACTGATCACAGTTCTTATGGGATGATGGATGAAAGACCTACATCATGAACACATGGTTATGGTTTGATGTCTGTTTTATTAAGGTTAAACTCATCAACAACTGTGCTTACACCTAAAAGTGTTTCAAAACCAATAAAGTCACAGTAGATACGGTCATCTGTCTTCGGATAATTTGAAGTGTTATCGAAGGTTGAAGAGTTGAATAAGGTGATCGGTTTCTATAACTACCTTCTTTCTAAACATTGTTTTAAAATACCCCTGAAAATATTTCTAATCAGACTTTGAGTTTAGAAAAATAGTAGCAGTATTCGTTCCATGAAATTTCTCTCCAACCACAGCTCTTCAATGTTACATTACCTTTTACGTACTCAGTATGAGATTTCCAGGAAGTTAATACTTCATTATTTATCTTATCAGTTTAAACAGTAGTGTAAATACTGAAAAAGATGATAACCAACTTCATATTGTTTATACAGACCTCAATGCTAATTGTATTTTAAAACTTCAAAGTGACCACTCGGGCTAAGTGATTTGATATCAGAGTGTATGGTGTTTAGTTTTCTGGTTGGCTTCAGGGGTAATCCATAATCATTTTAGTATAAACCACTGTCGAAATAACTTGATTTCATTATAAAGCTGGTCAGTTCATCATCAAAATGTACTGTATTTCAGAAAATACTCAGAAAAGTTACACTTGTTAAATTTTACCACAGTTATGTTTATTTCTTTGAATTGTATGTAGATAACAGATACTGACAAGTTATAGATTAAATGTCTCAAACAATTTATGTACATAAGTTAACGTTTTGGAATAGTTAAATCAATTTTCATACTTTAAAATAGTTGTAACGACTTTGATAATCTTGGATAGTCTACTGTAAAATAAGTATGATTCTACTGAATTATTTCTTTTCACATCGTTCAGTAAAGGCCATATTTTATTTGGCGATATAACTGGTGTATAATTACGGGAATGAAGTTTTACATTTAAACAGAACTATGATATTGCGGAAGTTTTACTAGACAGTTGGTAACGATTATCAGAAAGCTAGTTCTTTTCTATTCAATACTTTTAGCTAGATATCAGTGTGTTACTGTTGTGCTTGACAATGATTCACTCGATTAGATGCATTCTATTTAAATTCAGTGACATGTGCTAACCTAATAGATCCTGTCAGTCACCTTATCTATACGATGTGTTGATCACTTCGCAATTTCATATAATCAGTAAACAGTGCATGTCAACAAGGTAAAGATAATAATATAGGACGATCCTAAATTGATGATCACTTTTCTGTTGTTTCACAGTTTGTTTGTTCAAACCAAATCCATAATGTACTGGTCTCAGTTCCTCAAATCTGACCTATTACCTGGAGTACTGTGTGTTGAGCATGAGATTCTGGGAAAAAATAAATTTGTCTCTTGAAGAAATTTTTCCTGACACTCGCTTCTCTCTTTTAACTTGTTTTAATCAATTTTTTCCAAAAATATTTATTTCTTCATTTAGATTTAATCAAGATAAAGCTATCTACAATCTTCTAAACGCTGGAGCGGATTTTTCTACTGTTGATAATCAAGGTCGTACAGCACTTTACACTGCAGTTAGTGTAAGTGCTATTGAATCAGTTCAAGCAATTCTCAGTCATCCAACATCGGGTTTAAGTCCATTCTGTTATTTACCAAATACATTACAAGATTCTACAACACCACTTATACAAGCAATTAAATTAGGAGATACTGGTAAAATTAATTACACTATTTATTTACTATTATTATTTTCATACTTTTGTTTTAAATTAATGAATATTTGATTACTATTATTAATATTTCAATTAACTGAACGTAACATCCTTTCTCTAAAGAACACTTCAACTTTACAATTAACACATATTGAGTATACTTAGAATATGACATTACCTAATTTACGTATTCGCCCACTGTAATACAATAATTATAAACTTATAACTATAATGCCTATTGATGAAGATATTAAAAATAATTGTTTGCTAAAATCTTTCTCGTTTCCGAACATATATGTAGTAAAAGAGAACTCAGCTGGGGAAAACCATACATTAAATACATAGTTCGCACATCATCCTTCAGTCGTCCTGTACATATTTCTTCATTCTTCCAATTCTGTTGTTATTGAAATTCTCTGTTTCTCTTCCTTTTATCCTTATTTTAATCTTCTGATGGCAGGTATTCCACTTCCGTCTGCTACTACATATTACATATATCTGTCAGCATAAGCAATATATATATATATATATATATACATTTATCTCTATCATGCACAATCTAAATTACCGTCAAATCATAGTCTGGTTGTAACTATAGTCAAGATAGGTAAAACATGAGTATTTAATACTTTATCTGTTTCTAAAATGTAGATGAATATAATTAGCACAAAAATATGACATAGATAACCAGAAAAAAGTGAGAAAAGCACTTACACATAACACTGGATGTGTTATAAAATGAGTAATTGTGAACAACAGCAATACTTGTAGAAAGAGTATAATCTCATTGATTAGTTGATAATTAAAAATAAACAGGTTACGCCATTGTCTATCTGAACCAGGTTAGTAGGCATTTGTAGTAAACTATTATTATTCAACTCCTCCCGTAGCTCTTCTAGGGTTACTACAGGTCCAAAGACCGGGTAGATGAGGAGGTTTGCGAGTAGAGTCAGCAACCGCATCCTGTAGAAAACAACCTTGCTAAAAAAATACTAGCCAGAATAAACCATTTGTACTCTTTCCTACGAGTTGAATAATCTTCATTCAAGAGAATTATGACACCACGGTGAAAGTTGAGATTATTCAGAAGTCACGAGACCAATGCCCCTTCTAACAACGAGAGCAACAATTAATATGGGTACATGGAATGTTCGGAAAATGTAGGAGACCGGGAGGACTGATCAAACAGCAACGGAAATGAGGATACACAACATGTTCGGTTCTTGAATCAGTGAAATCGATTGAACTCAAGCTAGACAGAAAATATTAAATTCGGGAGAGATGTTGCTATACTCTGATCAAGAAGAAGAAAATGGTCCACAACCTCAGGGTATGGTTCTGATGCTGTCCAACCAAGCACGAAAAGCACCCATAGGATGGGAATCTCATGGATCCAAAAATCCTCAAAGCATCCTTCAAAACAATGAAGAAGGGAATCATGTTGAATGTTGTCCAGTGTTATGCGCCAACCAGTAATAGCAACGACGATGATGAAGACCATTTTTACGAGAGGTTGTAATCAATCATGGTGAAGTGTTCAGGAAAGAACATGACCACCCTGGTGGGTGAGCTAAACGCTAAAGTAGGATAACACCGGGTACGAAGATGTCATGGGACAACATGAACTGACTTGCAGAAAGGAACGAGAATGGTAAGAGATTCGCAAATTTATGTGGATTTGGCCAAATGGTTATAGGCGGCACAGTATTCCCCCGCAAGCGTACACATAAAGCTACGTGGTTCTCATCGGATTACACTACATAGAACCAGATCGGTCATACTTCCATCGCTAAAAAATTTAGAAGGTTAATGGGATAATTTAGAACCAGGCGAGGAGCTGACATAGCTTCGAACCACCACCTGGTGGTTGCAAAGATGATACTGAATCTAAAGGAGCACTGGACAACTGGAGAAACAGCATTAAAAAAGTTTATTACAGCTTTTCTTCAACATGCTGGCAAATCCAACGAATTCGAGATAGTTCTCAACAACAGGTTCCGAGCCTTACAGGATCTACACAAAGAGGAAGAAACTATTATGGAGGACAATTGGAAAAGGATTAAAGAAGAACTAACTTCAATGTATTAGGAGGTTCTATACCTCAACAAGCATCCTCATAAGGAATGGATTTCTATGAAAACACCGGACTGGATCAAAGAAGGGAAAAACAAGAAGACAGCAATTAACAACAGCCGAACAAGAAAGGAGGAAGTCAAGTCACAAGCTGAACATACAGAAGCAAACAAGCAAGTAAACAAGAGTATTATAACTGGCAAGCACAAATACGTGGAAGATATAGCAACGACAGAGGACAAAGCTGTAAGAGAAGGAAATATCAAACAATTATATGACAAAATGCGGAAACTTGCAGGGAAATATAGTAAACTAGAGTGACCGGTCAATGACAAAGAGGGAAAGACAATCACTGAGATTCAAGAACAGAGGAACAGATGGGTGGAACACTTCGAAAAACTGTTGAACAGACATGCTCCATTAAATCCACCGGACATCGAAGTAGTACATACAGACCTTTCTATAGATATCACTCCACCAACAATGGAAGAAATCAGGATGGCCATCAGACAACTCAAGAGTGGGGAAGTAGTAGAACCCGACAATATACTAGCCGAAGCACTGAAGTCAGACATAGAAGTAACTGCAAGTATGCTTAATGTTCTATTCAGGAGGATTTGGTAGGAAGAACAAGTGCCACCGACGGACTGGAAAAAATGGGACACTCGATCAAGATACCAAAGAAAGGAGATCTGAGAAAATGTTTGAACTACAGAGGAATCACACTACTATCGGTACCAGGGTGCGTTTTAAACAGAGTATCGCTGAGCTGGATGAAAGTCTCAGTAGACGATTAACTTCGAGATCAATAGGCCGAATTCCATAAAGATCGGTCATGCACAGACCAAATCGCGACGCTACATATCATCATTGAACAATCAGTTGAGTGGAACTCGTCACTACACGTCAACTTCATTGACTATGAGAAGGCGTTTGACAGCGTGGATAGAAGAACATAATGGAACCCTCCTCAACACTGTGGTGTGCCTGAGATTAGCAACATCATCCGGAATTCACACGACGTACTACACTGAAAAGTCGTGCATGGAGGACAGCTGGTGGATGCATTCCAAGTGCGGACTGGAGTCAGACAAGGCTGCTTACTCTCCTCCTTTCTCTTTCTTCTGATGGCCGACTGGATAATGAAGACCTCCACATCTGAGAGGAAGCACGGAATACAATCGACACCTTGGATGCAACTAGACGATTTGGACTTCTCAGATGACCTAGAACTTCTACCCCACACACACCGACAAACGCAAGTGAAGACAGCCAGTATAGCGGCAGTCTCTGTCTGCAGCAGTAGGCCTCAACATACACAAGGGAACAGCAAGATCCTCAAACACAACACGGAGAACACCAACACAACCACACTTGATGGAGAAGATCTGGAAGAGATGCAAAAGCACTACGTACCTGGTCGGCATCATCGATGAACAAGAAGGATCCGATGAAGACGCAAATGTAAGGATTGGCGAAGCAACAACAGCACTCCTACAGTTGAATGTCATATGGAACCCAAAACAACTATCAACCAATATCAAAGTCACAATCTTCAATACGAACGTCAACACAGTCCTACTGTACGAAGCTGAAACTTGCAGAACTACTACAATCATCATCAAAGAGGTACAAGTATTTAGAAACAGTTGTCTACTCAATATACTCGATATCCATTGACTGGATACAACCAGCAACGGCCTACTGTAAAAGAGGACAAACCAGCTTCGAGCTGAGTAGGAAATTATGAAAATACATTGGGAGTGGACATGACATAAATTGAAGAAATCGTCAAACTGCATCACTGGGCAAGCGGTAACTTGGAATCCTGGAGGAAAACGGAGAAGAGGAGTGCCGATGTATACACTGCACAGAGATTTGGAATCAGACATGAAAATGATGAATAACAACTCTAAAGGACTACCCAGGACAGGGTTGGATGTCGAACGCTGGTGGTTGACCTGTGCTTGTCCACGAGGACTAACAAGAGTTAGTAAGTAGGTAATTGTTGGTCAGTTTAATGAAGGACGTCAATGATTGAAGTTATTATCAACTATCTTACAAATCGACTATTTCAAAGTAATTCTCACTAGAAATTGATGTCGCAACCGTAAAGTCATTGAAAATCATGAAACTTAGAGTGAAACAACATAGGAATCAGATAACAACACACTGATATTGGATAATAATTGTTCTTTATTATGAATGAACTGAGATCGGAGTTACAATTAAATGTCAATCCTCACGGAGAGTGTAAACTACTGAATTTCTGATTCAGTGGTTAAAGTTTGAATCTTACTCTCCTCCAGAGTTGAAGATCACGATTTACATCTCGTTTTTAGTTTCATAGACCTGAAGTTTTTGAAGTCACAAACAACTGAGAAGGAATTGCTTTTTAATGTTTTCTAGTTTTCAATAGTTCTTTAATTAATATTTATTCGTCAGGACTGAAAAACTCACTTGTCAAGACCTCATCTCCATATCTTACTTTCACAAAAGTCACATTGAGTACCATACACAGACTTGTGCCTAATGATAATTATTATACTGTATGATAGATAAGTCGACTTCCAATAACATTGTAATATAACTTGACCACTGTACTTTATTGATATTTACTATTTAACTGTAACTTGATTGCACTTTAAGAAAAAGTAATTCATTGTTACTGAATGATGGAGACTTGACTAGGGACTTTTTAAAGAATATTTTTGCATATAGATGTATATAATTCATGAAATACAAGATATTAAGTTGTGTCCTTTTGTTAAACCTTTTTTTCATTTGTCTATTACACAGACATATTCAATATGCTTTTACATGCAATGAATGTATTAGTTTGTGCATTGACAAAGACTAATATTTCACGTGGTCAAGAATATACAAGTTATGATATAGTTGGAACATCAACGGATTTACTTCATATTCAATCTACATCATCATCATTATCAACTGGAGCAGTAGCATCATCATCTCCACCAATAGTGATCACTACACCAACAGTCAGCGGTGGCGTAGAACTTAACTACGAAGAGAATACTCTAAATTTTCTTGATATTAACACTTCAGATAGTTTAGGACGTACAGCGTTACATTGGGCAGCTGTAACAGATCAATCGGATATCATTCATAGTTTGTGTAATTCTGGTGCAACTGTAGACGCACAAACATTACATGAAGAAACTCCATTAGCATTGGCATGTAGAGAAGGTGCTATGAAAAGTTGTCGTTTATTGTTGCTAACTGGAGCTAATTTAAATTTGGCCGATTATTTAGACCGTACACCGAGAGATTTAGCTTATTTAGGTGGACATTATGAGATTGTTAATTTATTAGATGAATATACCGCCAATTCAAATACTGAATATTGTACAAGTGGAAATCTAAACAAATTAACTAAAAGCATGATTTATTCACTTCGAAAACATTGACAACAGAAGCAACAGACATAAATACATTATCTACACTACCAAGAATAACATCAGTGGAGCAATCGTATTGTTCATATTTTCCAACTTCCAATTATATAACAACAGTCAGCATCAATTGACCTATTATGATACAGAGTCTATTACTCATAAACTATCAACTGGGAATCCAGCATCCCAGCATTATTCAACGACGAAATCAGCTGTGAAAAACATGAATGAGAAAAAGTGTCCAAAGAATCGAAGTATCCATTGCATTATGACAACAACTGTTAGTACTATTGGAGTTGCTACGACGACAACAGCACCAACATTTATCGAGAAATACGGGTTGACAACAACAGTACCTACATCATCGTCACTAGTGTTTAACAATAAATGTGACTCGTTGTCGGCATCACAATACTCAGTGGTGAGTGAATCAACTACAAAACTCATTACTACTAATGATACCACTACTACTAACAATAATAATGGTAATAATAACAATAGTAAGCGTACACCTCCATCTCTTGCTCTGATGAATACTAATACTAATAATAATGACTATATTGATAACACAGTATTAAATTCTATTAAAACTCATCAAACATTAAATAAGCCAGACAATTTTGAATCATTTACTAATAACACAAACAATAATAATAGTAGTAATGATGTTCAAGTTGAAATATTCAAGGATTCATTATTGAAAATTGATTATAATTTTAATAATAACAATAATAATAATACTCATACTAATCATATTATAACCAATTCAAATATAATGGGTTCCGATGAAAGTGAATCACCAAATCATTGGTCATCAAGTTCATCTGATTTATCACCAAATCGTACAAATATTAATAATATTATTTTACAGAAATTCGATGAACAACCATCAATAATTCGTGGAATTCATCATCAATTAAATACATCAAATTTATCATCCATTATGTTATCTAAATGGAAATCATGTATAAATGTAAATAATTATCCTCATTATAACAGAGTTATTACAAATTGTAATTCCACAAATCCTAATATTATTAATACTACTTATAATAAACAGTCATTTCTTACCAATTATAATAATCAGTACCATTTCAATGATTACAATAATAGTCATCACCAACAACAGTATCAACGTCAATATAATTCAACAGATAGACAGTAATAATCTTTGACTTAAATCATAAGTAAATCCTTTAATTATCATTTTATTATGAACATCTATAATGTTCATTTGTAAACTAATCATAAGTTAAAATAATAATAAGAAGAATTGATGCATGTGTAGAATGTAACGAAATCCTTTCTCTTGGAAACTTGATTGAAATGAAACCTATGATAGATGGAAAAATTAGTCAATGTTGATTTATCAAATAACTTCACTATGTGCATGTTTGTGTGTATTTATGTGTAGATGATGACTTATCATTATGTTGTGGTGGTTTAACATGTTCCACATGTCGTACAGAATAAAACAAAATATCCCCATATAGAATCCACATCAAAACATTCCTTTTGGAAGAGATCAATCGTATTAAGTCATCATTCCCAGCATAGAACTGTTAATAAAATTTAGAATAATAATTTATCACAAATCAATAACTACCTATATGTACATATTATGTTTATAATGATGAAAGTAGTTGAGAGGAGCAAAAAATTAGACCACCTTGATAGCGAATGGACAAACTGCATTTCTATTTCTCTCCTCTAATTCATTCATTCAGTATCGCTTCCACATTTTCTCTGTTTTTATTATAAATCCAAATACCTTTCTCTATTGTGATCACAAACCAGCAGAAAACTTTCATATATATATATATATATATATATATATATATATATAATAGCTTACAGGTATTCATTATTTTTGCTTTCTGACTTCCTCAGTATTTCTAATGCTTGTAAATAAATCTTCTAAACACTTGTTAGTGTTATACAGTGTGAGACGACATTGTGTGTAGGCGGGTGTGAGGCGTACTGGTTATATGAAAATATACTATGTTAGTAGTAATTTCCGGCAATGGGACTTCCAGTAGTAGATTTAAATATTCAAGGAGTTTACCGGCATAAATGAGATTGTAAACACTGATAAATGTTATATATTAGTTAGTCAGAATTTCTACACGTTAACTAACGTCGTTATTGTTTCTCAAAGGTGAGTAATTTTCTTGGAAATGCTACTACAAATATGTACAACTCATGAGTAGGGTTAGTACATGTTAGACATTTCTTGATGTGAATGAAAATGTCTGAATTACCTTCATTGAATCCATGAGTGCCCATGTTAGTATATCTTACTCTAGATTCAGTATTGTTGTTATTTATCTGTGATAATTAGAAGTATTTGAATTATAGTATGAACTAAGAATCCCAGAAATAACGTAATCGGGTCAAGAAGTACTAGATAACCACAAACGAATGTACTGTATTTAGAATTCGAAATCAAGCATTCAACAAGTGCAAAAGAATCATCAGTTCATTCAAACACCACATCCACTACACCTTAAATTGGAGTTTAAGTGTCTGTAATCGATTGTACGTCTTCTTCTCAAGTTCATCCTGTGTCTGTCCGACATTGTATTGGATAAAAACTCTATTATCTAGAATGCACTAATTAGTATTAGAATTAACAACCGAAATCGGAACAGACTCACCTGCTTCCTGGGATTGTGTAATCAGCATGTCGGTTGTGTACTGAAACCGCTGCTATCTAGAATTTGAACCATAGACTTTTAGACTACCCTCCCCCACGAAATAAATTTGGATCTTTATATCCCCAATTTATGAGTAATGTAGCTTCATTTAAAACATATTTCTCACATTGACTAGAGTAAACATTAGAAGTGTTTTTGTGATAAGGATAAACAGCAGTTGATATGAAATCATCCGAATTGTAGTCAAAATCGAGGTCATTTAGTACTTGTGCTTCACATTGAACAAGTTTCCCACAAAAAACAAATGCATTATGAGGATAGATAATATTTGGTATGACACCAAGATTTGACTCTTCTGAAATAGTTTCCTCGAATTTATTAAGAATGTCATTGCATAGTAAAGGATCATTAGAAAAATCAGCATCTATCAAGACTGCATCAGGCTTTTGATCATGACTAGGTTCATTCAACATATTTTCCTCAGATTTGCAAGGAATTTCGTCAGAAATAAGTGAGTCATTAGGAAAAACCATATCTGGTACAATAACATGAGAAATCTGATAAGTCGATTGATTAGAAACTGTTGTCTCGCAAGAATTCTGAGTTTCATTTAACTTCGAAATGCTATATGACTCTACATTGTTTTTTTAAAATCGTTGATAATGATAAATGATCATTATGAATACTCGACTCAGTGGAATCAGAATTACAAGACTTAATATTAGTTGCAGCAAGATGAACAGTAGTATTACAAACTGACTGAATATGTCCAATGTCACCGCATTTAAAGCACTTAGAATTACGAAATTTACATAAATTAAAAGAGTGGAACCTGCCACAGGACAAACATTGACCAAACTTGTGTCCATCTTCGTGAACTGTATCGCAACTCCTCAATGAATTATCTGCATAACCTTGAGTATGCACTGGGTTGGGATGACGTAATGCAGTGGAATTTTTTATATCCTCATGAATTATTTTACGAAATCTTCCTTTACCGCATTCGGAATTTGTATACTTAACACAGTCTAGCAGTAGATCCTTGAGAGTTGTATAAGGAAGCGAATAGGCTTTTCCGGCATAGCCAGAATTCTTAATAAGCTGTATGCTTCTTCCTCAATGAATATGAGGAAGTGTGCCACAATATTAACATCCTCATCATCTTCCTTGGTCATAGCCCAGATTTCGAACCTTTCAAAGTAATCCTCAAAAGCGTCAAAACCTGAATGTACATCCAACAATTCCATCACAGGCACCATCGCGACGCCAATGTGATAATTAGAAGTATTTGAATTATAGTATGAACTAAGAATCCCAGAAATAACGTAATCGGGTCAAGAAGTACTAGATAACCACAAACAAATGTACTGTATTTAGAATTCGAAATCAAGCATTCAACAAGTGCAAAAGAATCATCAGTTCATTCAAACATCACATTATCACAACTGATAATCAGATTATTGTGTAGAAAAAGCATAGAGGTTGGTCGGTTCAAAATACAATTCTACTTGTGCCGGAGGACAACATACATTTAGGTTCAAAGTCTCCTTAACAAAAGCATGAGTTAAATGAATATAAATTCTTCACATCAGTAATCACAAATCTTATTAAAATCGTAAATGGCACGTTTGGAATGTTTTGAAAGGGATTTAATAATTTTGCTCGATTTTGAAGTCCTACTTACTATAAAATCTGTTAGATATAATCACTTAACTAATTTATGCTGGCTAAATGAAAACGTCCCCACAATATAGTAACTTGTAGAACTTTAAAGTGTTGCATGAACTCCAAAAATTACAATTACAATTTTATTCCACTTCAACTGCAATAGGATTGAATTTCTCAAGCAGAATAAAATTTGCTACGGATTATTTTTAAGATAATTCTATGGAGGCTACAGATTGATATGCAGCTTGATATAACTTTGATTTATTCCACTAATTTAGTCATATGTTGTTAAATTTAAGTTGTGTTTTACTTCATACACTGTCAAAATATCTTTACATACAGATGCTTTTCATTATTAATTAATTCAAGTGGTATATTTGATTAATAAATCTGTATCAGTTGTATTATATTTCGAGAAATTTACAATAATGACCTACCGAATATGCATAAGATGTATGAGCATCATTTCTTGGATTTACCATCAGATTGTAGATTATAGTATAATTGATTTAGTCAGCTATATGACACAATGAGGAAACTTGCAGGGAAATATAGTAAACTAGAGTGACCGGTCAATGACAAAGAGGGAAAGACAATCACTGAGATTCAAGAACAGAGGAACAGATGGGTGGAACACTTCGAAAAACTGTTGAACAGACATGCTCCATTAAATCCACCGGACATCGAAGTAGTACATACAGACCTTTCTATAGATATCACTCCACCAACAATGGAAGAAATCAGGATGGCCATCAGACAACTCAAGAGTGGGGAAGTAGTAGAACCCGACAATATACTAGCCGAAGCACTGAAGTCAGACATAGAAGTAACTGCAAGTATGCTTAATGTTCTATTCAGGAGGATTTGGTAGGAAGAACAAGTGCCACCGACGGACTGGAAAAAATGGGACACTCGATCAAGATACCAAAGAAAGGAGATCTGAGAAAATGTTTGAACTACAGAGGAATCACACTACTATCGGTACCAGGGTGCGTTTTAAACAGAGTATCGCTGAGCTGGATGAAAGTCTCAGTAGACGATTAACTTCGAGATCAATAGGCCGAATTCCATAAAGATCTGTCATGCACAGACCAAATCGCGACGCTACATATCATCATTGAACAATCAGTTGAGTGGAACTCGTCACTACACGTCAACTTCATTGACTATGAGAAGGCGTTTGACAGCGTGGATAGAAGAACATAATGGAACCCTCCTCAACACTGTGGTGTGCCTGAGATTAGCAACATCATCCGGAATTCACACGACGTACTACACTGAAAAGTCGTGCATGGAGGACAGCTGGTGGATGCATTCCAAGTGCGGACTGGAGTCAGACAAGGCTGCTTACTCTCCTCCTTTCTCTTTCTTCTGATGGCCGACTGGATAATGAAGACCTCCACATCTGAGAGGAAGCACGGAATACAATCGACACCTTGGATGCAACTAGACGATTTGGACTTCTCAGATGACCTAGAACTTCTACCCCACACACACCGACAAACGCAAGTGAAGACAGCCAGTATAGCGGCAGTCTCTGTCTGCAGCAGTAGGCCTCAACATACACAAGGGAACAGCAAGATCCTCAAACACAACACGGAGAACACCAACACAACCACACTTGATGGAGAAGATCTGGAAGAGATGCAAAAGCACTACGTACCTGGTCGGCATCATCGATGAACAAGAAGGATCCGATGAAGACGCAAATGTAAGGATTGGCGAAGCAACAACAGCACTCCTACAGTTGAATGTCATATGGAACCCAAAACAACTATCAACCAATATCAAAGTCACAATCTTCAATACGAACGTCAACACAGTCCTACTGTACGAAGCTGAAACTTGCAGAACTACTACAATCATCATCAAAGAGGTACAAGTATTTAGAAACAGTTGTCTACTCAATATACTCGATATCCATTGACTGGATACAACCAGCAACGGCCTACTGTAAAAGAGGACAAACCAGCTTCGAGCTGAGTAGGAAATTATGAAAATACATTGGGAGTGGACATGACATAAATTGAAGAAATCGTCAAACTGCATCACTGGGCAAGCGGTAACTTGGAATCCTGGAGGAAAACGGAGAAGAGGAGTGCCGATGTATACACTGCACAGAGATTTGGAATCAGACATGAAAATGATGAATAACAACTCTAAAGGACTACCCAGGACAGGGTTGGATGTCGAACGCTGGTGGTTGGCCTGTGCTCCTCCACCAGGGGTAACAGGCGTAGTTTATATTTGATTTAATTGTACTATAGTGAGTTCCAAATAACTTTTCCTCGTATATACATGAAAAGTTTACGGTAAATTTCACACGATTTAAAAATAACTCTTTTCAAACTTTTCAAGATATTTCAAACGCAGATAGATGTTCATCACAATTTTTAACCTGTTCTTCTGTTTAACCAACCTGCGCCATGCTCTAAAACTGAAGTCTTCTATGGGAATCTGATTGTTCTGAGTAAACTGCATATCTTAGTCGTGAAGCTGTAAAATCGCTAAGACCTAGTAGTAAGCTGTATGCATTTGCAGATTTTTCTACTGGATTCAATAATATGATGTGGGATGAATTATATGACCTTCCAAACCCTGTTGGATTATTTGTTTACCCAACTGGAATATGTAGTAAGCCCATTCAACTACTGTATTATTTGTCTACTCACTGTAATTTAGACACTTAATTCTGGGTATGCTTGAGCGCGTGTCTGCACGTCAATCCTTAATCTATTCTCGCACTGATTGTAACACACAGATAATCAATAACTTATCCACACTTTATTATGACTCATAATTATATATGGATTCTTCACACTCAGACACACACAGTCTTGGTTTCACTGTGTGGCTTGCTTGTTGTACGCTTGTGGTTTTATTAATCTTGAACAATAAAGTATCTCTACAACTGGTGTTCAGGCTTCTGAATAATCTCAAGTAAATCCATAACTCTACTAGGAGATTTAGCCGGCGTTAAATACTCAGTTAACGGGATATCATTTATTGGAGTCAGATATAGAGGAAATTTGCCTCTACAAATAAAGTAATATATTTCATGAGATTTATTTTTCAAATTTCTACCATCAGGAAGATGTCTCAGAGAACATTAGTTCTCCCTTTTTTACTTGGTAAAAGTCTTCATAAAATTATAAATGAACATAAAATATTTGTGGGCCATAGTTTGATCGAAGAAAAATATTGCTGAAATCAATTTTCAGATATTGACTACGATTATGTTGATACACCATATGGAAATGAACTGCAATATAAGTAGGTCATCAGCTAGTTTAAGTTTATATTAACAAGATATTATCACAACCTATGACTAATCAACGACTTTTTTGAATTAGGACAAGAATACATCATTGATTTGATAAAAGTTTGACTTCAAGTGGATACTTTATGACAGTGTTAGCATGATATAGACTGGATTGAAGCATGCTCAATGAACGATTGCTTTGGTGCACGCTGATTGGCTCATTCTTATCTAATCACCACTAGTCTATGCTCGGAGAATACTCTAGAATCTTCTCATGTAGAAACTATAAATATACTAACGTTTTCCCTATTATGCTTCTTGCTTCCATCTAACCTTGTTATTTGGAATATAATCTCTTTCCCGTTAAACCGTGTTCTGATTTGAGGACGTCGAGTGATTTGGTGTCCAAGAATACTAAGCAATAGGAATAGCTGAGTTATAACCGTAAGAAAGAAATATAACACATAGTTTGTTCAACTCTAATGAACCGATCATCTATCAACAATTCCCTAAAGATTTTTATTTATACTGTTGTAAATGGTTATAAGTTTTCACTGTGAAGAACGATTGTTTACACTGACTATTTTATTTTATCTGTACCACATATCGTAATAGGTTCAGATTGCATTTATTCTTTTGGTTTAAAATAGTGGAACACAACTGACTGAATTTTTGTAGGCAACACAGTCCCTCTAAATGACAAGATACTATGCTCGATCAGACAATAAGCCACACGGTATGAGACAATTAAGTTATTTCATCGATTAATTACTTTTCTTGAAATTATCATCTTATTGGATTTCTTCTCCAACACATTCAAATAATCTTGATCTACTTACTATTTTCACATACGAATTAAAGTACTGACTGTCAGCCAGTTCCTTGAAAAACATAATTTTAACAAATTAATAGGAAACTATGATTCATTTTGAAGGTGATAATTGGATATCCCTATCAAATAAGCATAATATATCATGTAATAAAACTAAGTAGTTGGTGTCGAGACTAAATAAGTCTAAATAACGATAGGAACCAATTCAACAGGATAAATTCTATACAAGACATTGTTATTTTACCATGAGTAACAACCAGTTTAATTTGAAATAAACACCCATTTTAAGCGGTCTTGCTAAATTAATCAAACAACATCCATGCAACGATAAAGGTTTAGGAAATAATTCCAATATTGTTACTGACAAAGTCTAATTTGTGTATTATAAAAATTATTTCAGACTGAATACATCATAGTAGTTTACAACAATTATATCAAGTTTGGTTTCTACACCACATAATCCAATTTAATAATTTCATGTAGATATAAGCAGAGATGAATGATGGCTAGCAGTGGGATCCACGATGCACGTTCCGTCCTACTTTGGACTCGTCAGCTGAATACACTTCCATATAGGTAGTTTAAACAGTCCACTATTCTATGTTAGTTAAAAACTGATTCACTATTACAGTAGAATATCTTTTACACGTTTATTAGTTAAGTCGGTGGATTACTTACATATTTACGTACAAGGTGGAAGCGGTTTCAGTTAAAGAAGAGTGACTATTCACTGACAGTATCTATATTTCATAGTTATGGATATCTCTTATCTAAATGAATACAAAATATTCATACTTATAGAGATGGGGATATATGGATTTCATACAGCTGACATGCGATTTCCATCATGAACTGATGACAGCTGGAGAACTATAAGGATCTTTGAAACATCTCTCACCTATCATGGAACGACCGAAAAGAGAACGTTGAAGTTAGGCGCACGATTCTTGGCGAGAACAACTAACTGGTTGTAATTCTTGATTAAATGAGGTGCTTGGGAGATGTATCACATATTTCTAATTAATAATGGTGTAGATGTGGGTCGAAAGGAAGCTAGAAGAGGCCAAAGAAAATGGGGGACCAATCCATGGGCTGTTGATCTGATTTATGTTGACAGGCAACGACCACCTGGTTGAATTTCATATAATAAGTGTAAGGTTGAAAGCCATGATTTAAAATAATTTACAATGTCTCAGATACACTTAATTTTATCTTACTCTAGATCTTTGGTTCGACCACTCATTCATACATACCTTCTTATTGTCTGTTTGGATTATATTCTTAAAGCTTAGTCTTTTTCATTATCATTGTTTTGAGTTCTTTACCATCCATTTTGTCAATTTCATTTCATTGTACTAATGGTGGTATAGCAACTTCGGTTAATGAACATTTGTACTAGGTTCTACGCTGATTATGACTGACAGGAGAACCACCAAAAGACAGGAAACAGTCTATGATTGGGGCTTCTCAACACTGTACACCCACAAAGAAGTCATTGCTCCAATGAGCTTTCAGTCAAAACCATATAAAAAAGAACCTGTTCAAAAAAATACATTGTCTTGACAATTGTGTTGACTTACTATGATCGCTATCGTTTTTAACTAGAATATAAAACTCTACAGTAAATAATTATTTATATAATTACCGTCAGTGTTCTCGTGTTTAATAAAAACCGTACTCCGAAATATAAAGGTCATGACCAAAATTCTATGTGATCCACAAAGACAGTTGGCCTGCAAATGATCTGGATGTGAATGAAATTCTATTTGTGCAAACTTTATTTCATATCTTGTACATAGGTATCGCATTAATCGGATATTAACATTGGGTCTACTTGAGCTCAGAGCTTTTTAGGGAGGAATTGTGGTGTATCTTCCGACTACATTGTAAATGTGAATTGGGCGATAGTGAATAGTCAACGCTTGGTTAAAATCTATTCCCCGTTATAACATTTAGTGTAGTTAACCTTAGGTGCTTCATGAAAAAATGTTTAGTTAACAATTCCTGATATTTTATCGCAACAATTTTTGAATATTCAAAACATCGAACACGATTTCATGCCAATAACAATTTCATGACGCGACCAGCTAGTTTATCCCAAGTCTAATTTTAATTGATCTCAATAAGTACTTGGAACCGACAAAGTACAAATACCAGAATACTTATAGTTTCCCATCATCTATGTTTATTGGTCACTTATCAAACGTAAATCGAGAGATGCCAGTACTTTATAACTACCTAGTTATTGACGGCATTGAGGAAACTGCACACATCAGATACTGTAGTACATAAAATGGTCAGCATGCTCCACTTTTTGTATTGATAGTACTTTTATGTTAATATTTCCTGCAGAATTTTGAGTGTGGTGATCTGAACCAATACACTGAGCCATTCAATTTCTCCAATTAGAACGCATAATTGCACTACCTCATATATCAGTATACATGAAACGCATGGTAAGCAATTCTTAGCCACTATTCTACCAACGTTTTTTCTCAACAAAAAGAAAAAAAGAATGCCTGTGTAAGTTAATTTGAAAGAGGATTTCAACATATATCGACCTATGAGACTTCTACTTACTTTTCTGGATAATAAAAATCTGATGCAATAAGCATTCCAAGATATGGCGCACAATGGATGGGACTTAACAGCCAATTACATTTTCGTATATTGTGTGAGCGATTCGCATGACATGGAACCTCATAGAAAAGTGGGCAGGATGAAATGCAATTCAAAACCTAAATGATTTAGATATCGATAAATATATTTTTGGGTTGGAAAAGGACCTTATATTCCTAATAGTCTAAAACACCGTTGGGTGAAAGTGTACAGACCACGGGGTCAATGAAAAACACCATTTCATTAGATCACAAGAATACAGACGAAAAATAGTTGATTTTGTAGAGAAGAATTAGACTGTGGACTGAGAAATTTTATCTACAATGTTTTATATTTGAAATGTGACAGTCGTATGAGGAGCATAGTTCATGTAAAGTAAATAGTTACTATGATCCTAATTATTAAAAGTAGTAGCTAAGAATCAAAAGATTCGAAACAGAAAAGTTTTATTTAGAAACAATTAAAAATGGTTTCAGTCTTTAGTTATATCTACATAACCGTACACGCTCACTGTTCGGCAAGTGCAGAGTTGTCCATCCATGTACTCGTTCTTTTTGGGCCATAATGAACTTTCTGGTACGTTCACAAGATGGGTTAGTACACATCGGACAGCGAAGCATGAACTGTTTCGAGCATGGATCACCCCGACGAAGGTGATCTAGGACTAATTCGGCTAGGCCCTGAAATAACAAAAATTATCTCAGGTAAAATTAATATTTAATTCCTACAAACACATGACTATGGTAACAGAATGCTTAATACTTAGCAATATGAACACATTGAAAATGAAACAGGATCCAAAGACAAAAGTAGATAAAAACCCTACAACATGATTTCATTCCAAATCCTTAAGTCGGAAGTAAACTGAAAGTTTTACAATGTAAATATCGTAGAAAAAAAACAATGTTTTTTGCCTTCTTTATTTTAAAGAAAAATTACATCATTTTATTACTTTTCTGTGAGAAGTAAAACATAAGAGATGGATGTCCGATTTTCGAACTGATAACTGGATATTTGCAGTCTAGTAAATACCGTTGTTCTCACTGAAGCTGCGAAACAAAGCTTATACAGAGACAACCTTTACAGTAGCTCATAAAATTGTTCAAAGCAAGATATTTCAGTGATACCACCATAATTCACAAGAGGCTTCACATCATTTGTTATATTTTTAACACCCACGTATACACTTTCAGTTGTCGAGATATAACGGATAGAGTTGGTTTAACTTGGTTTAGATGAATGTATGAGTGCAATTTACCTTTTCTCACTTGGAAATGTTAATTATACTGTATTTTTCTCCATAGGAAGACAAAACTATTTATGTTGACCAACGTCTGGATAATCTCCCTGTTCTTTCTGCTAGAGGTAAGAACTTATGTTGTTACAACAATGCAAAACATTTTGAATGCTGTAATCAACTGTTATTGGAGATGGACGATGATAATTTTAACATTACACACGTTAGTTGTTACGTAGTGACTCAAACAGATAGTTCATAGAAATTATACAATCTACCCAGTTATGAATGGTTATATTCTTTACGATAATCGAGGCTTACAAAAAGTTTACATTACATTGAACTCTGGGGGTAGCTTCTCATCCACTTTGACCTTTACAAGATGAGACTGAAAAAACGACAATTGCCAATCTTTTGTTCGAACACTAAACAATACCACTTACTTGACTGAATGCAGGGTCACCATTCAGTGATTGTGATCTGCGTACAGAAACCATACCGGCTTTAGCTGCTATTTCAGAGCAATATTCTATGTCCATTTCATACAGGGTTTCAATATGATCTAGAGTGAATGCAACAGGAATTAATAGTGCGTGTCGATATCCCAAACGACTCAACCCATATAGGGTGTCTACTGTTGATGGACCTAGCCAAGCAGCTGGACCAACTTTAGACTGCCAAGTAAGACGATAAGGCCATGAGAAATTGAGTTGTTTCATGATTGCGTGAACAGTGGCACCTACTTCCTGGAAGTAGTTAACAAATGAAATCCGAAAACACGTAATATCCTGAAATCAACCACTTTAAATAGATATAGATATGGACCTTTCAAGTTTCACTTAACTGAACAAAAAAACCAGAATCAAACAAAGGGATGTCATTTCCAATTTGACTTTCCTACTTTTAAAAGCTCATAAATTTTACCGACTTAATGACATAAATCTAGAGCTATGTAGGTAGTGATGAAGATGGTTGGATTAAACAGATAACCAGTAGTTAATTTATTATGACTTGCTCATTAAGTAAGAGTTTGGATACTCGGCTTTAAGACACTTTTTGTGATGGATGGTGGTGCTACCAGGCTCTCAAAACCCAATTATTTGTTAGAAACATACGAATATGTTCTAGTTTTTCAAAAAACGATATGAGCTACGTGGCTATTAGATTCTTCAAGACCTTTAGCTTATTGTCATCGTTAAGTTAAACATGAGGACTTAAAAAGCGGTTTCGGATTTTAATCGTCCGTCGGCTCCACATAGTAAATTTGATAGTTGAGGCTCCAAGTAGATGCAAATTATAGATGTTAAAAGAATTCTAAAACTTCAGACTAATTGGAAGTTCCGCTTGGTGTTTGAAAATGGGAAAATTTTTACTGTATGTTTGTGTAAATCAACATAACCGGATGTTTTTACGTGTATAACAGTTAACGCTACTTGATAATTTAATCTAAGACGGAAACTGACTTTATGATATGATCCGTAGGTTAAAAATGAACTGAATAGTGATAGGTCAGATGAATAATGCAAATTTTCATACTGTAAGCAAAATATTCTAAGTTGTGTGGGCTTATTTTTGGACGAAGTACGTTACAAATACAATAAAGTCAAAGTGGTGGGGTCTTTTACTGTTCTGTAAGTATACAATGCTAAGCGTCTACACGCCATAAATGTCTTAAACCCACCTGAGGATAAGGATCACCGCGATTGACGACAGATAGTGGGACCGAATGTGCACTGAAAATTAGGACGGTATTCGCACGCTCTGTTTCATCATTAATACTCTGGAGCTCGTCAAGAATTTTATCCGCGAAACTGTTAACCAACGGGGGGAAAACAGGCCATCTGTCAATAAAGGACCAGATCGGTCCAGGACTTTTGTTCTGTACAGAAGGAAGCTCAATACTTTCAACACCATTGAAAGTTTTTTCTTCACTTTCGTAATGACGAACAATGGCATTTAAACTGCTTCCCGAAGTAGCACAGCTGTACTGTGGATACTGACTAAAAGCAACAACACGCTCTACACCGTCTCTACAGTGGAGTAAAATAAGTCGAACAAAAATACCTTTCCATTTCATTAACACAAGATTCCACAAGAGGATGGACATAACGAAATGCAACGTAGAATCTATGAGGAGCTAGTCAAAGAGACCGTAAAAATTTGTGAACTTTGTTCTACCTGTTTCTGGGCTAATAGCGTCTAAGTGTTTCACCATCATTTCACCTTGTACTCTGGTCCAATAGAGAATTGGAGACCCACCACCAATTCGAGAATACTGCTCCTCGATCTTAGGTGACCTTTTCCATGCTACAAAACGAGCTAGAAGACTAGATTGTAACAAAATATTCCTAAATACTCTTGGAACGGCATACGGATAATTTCTTTGTCCGAGAATAGACGTGTTAAAAAATTTTGTACTTCCTTTGTAGTTTCTGGGCCACCCATATTTAGTAGCATTATGCCCGTTTTCGCTCTGAAGATTATGTAAAAGTAGGTTTGCTTACTTTTGTGAGCATTGTCGATGATACATATAATAACGATTGCCAAAGTAATAACGCAAATGTTTATGCAACGCAAACATGGCAACTGGCGCACAACAGTTTGCTGGGTCCAATTTGATTACTGTGTTGATTGACCAGCATGAACTGATTAACTCTTGTCTTGTTGTTGGGAGACAATAGCAGTAGATATTTTCATCTAGCCTTTGTGACTTCGAGGGACTCAACAACAGATTTGTGTCAGAATACTTTTTGGCTGGGTCAGTCAATTAATTAAGGGAACAAATTTTGTTATCAAAAATTTGTTCTACTGACAGCGTGAATCCAGGAGTTTATTTATGATAAGTTGTAGCGGCAACTAAATCCTCAGACGAAATAGTTCTGTATGTCTTCGACATAAGTACTGACCTCATTAGTTTTACAACAGCTGAAGACTCTCGGTCGCACATTCTCACGAGATCACTAGTAAGTACGTCGTACTAAGCACCACCTTCGACAACTAGCCGGATTAGTTCACCCACTTCTTTACAAACTGACTATTTTTGTAGAAACATCATCGAACTGCTTGATTCTTGACATTTGCTTCGACTGGATTCGGGATCCTTGATTGTAAAACTGTTACAGACAAAATCATTGTCGAACTTCGACATTTTTAGACCACAAAGGTTCATAGTCCATTTGATTTTGGCCCTATTAGAGCTTAAGTCTGTCACCTATTGCGTTTTATCTCATCATTCATGAGTCTAAGCACTTAAAATGAACGAAGGACGATGTTCGAATTACGACTTCGTCTTCAGTAGGAAGGATCTGTAGCGGTAAATAAATCCCCAAAATAAATAGCTCTTCAAGGCTTCAACATTGGGTGCTGACCACATTAGTTTTAATGGATTCACCTAGCTGAAGGCGCTCGGTCATGCATCTTTACCGGATCACGAGTGGGGACGCCATGCTCAACAATCCCTACAGTCGCTAGCCAGATTAGATCAGACGATCCTCGATATATTGATAGCCTATCAAATATATCTTCGAACCTCCTCGCTTCTGTCTTTTGATTCCACTTAGTGGGCACGATTCAAATTAGAATTTGTTACTGGTTAAAGCGTTGTCAAACTCCAAATACTTGTGGCATCTTCATTGATGAACCTAAGGTGATCTGGCGCACCAAATCGCAAACTGTGAGTCTGTTCTATTTTGGGATTCTATATATCATCGCCTTATTTTTATTTTCTATACATTGCGATATTTTTTGTTTTTGGATACATATGTATTTTCACTCGTTCATTCTCGTACTTCATATCTCACTATGACTTAACAGTCACGCAGAGTACTTAAGCTAAAAATTATGTCCCCACCTTCGTTCTAGCTGATGCCCTTCTAACCAGACAATATCGAAGCCTGGTTTTACTACGCAGAAGCCGACTTCTCCGAGCACGGCGTGAACGACACACGTGCACAATTCCTCGCAGTAGTCAAGGCACTACCACGCGAACTTAACAGGTACGCAATACCTAGTATGTTTACTGTTGATGTTTCTGAACCGTATGAAACGCTGGAACGTTCTATTCTGAAACGCGTAGACCTGACTGATATACAAAGGTTAGACCAACTCCTCAATAACATCGATCTGCAACACGGTTCTGCGACGGACATGTTGCAACGAATGAAAGAGGTTATCGGCCAAAGAACCTTCAACGGTGGCCTATTTAAACAACTTTTATTATCCAAACTTCCTCAACAGGTGCAAGCTGTGCTTGTTTCGTTCCACAACAACGCCTTAGACGAGCTGGCTGCAGTTGCCGATCGTATCTTAGAAATTACGAAATCTTCTAATACCGAGGTTTCTTCAGTCAAAGAAAAGCCTCAAACAGCCCAGAATGACATAACGGAGTTATGTCATACACTTACTCGTTATCTTAATTTTCGTAAGGACTGTAAGCGATCTGCCTCTAGACCACGAGAGACGGATAACCCCGACTGGTGCTGGAATCATAACCAGTATGGAAAGTCTACCAGAAATTGCAGAAAACACTGCAGTTTCCCCAACTCAAAACCGACCGACATGCAAAACAACTCGGGAAACTCCCAAGCCGGCACGCGTTAACGGCAACCGTGGCCTGCGAACTTATCCGTCTGTTGTACGTCACAGATGTGGCAACAAGAGCTCGCTACCTCGTCGACACTGGCGCAGATGTTAGCGTTCTCCCAGCGAATTCCAACGACCGACTTCGCGAATCGGCTTTAAACTTACAGGCGGCAAACGGAAAACCTATCGCTACGTATGGCAAAAGGTATGTTTACCTCAGCGTGGGTTCACGCAAACCCATTCACTGGATTTTCGTTGTTGCAGATGTTTCTATGCCAATCATTGGTATGGACCTTCTACAACACCATAATCTAATCATCGACACGCACAAACGGTGGCTAGTAAACGGAAACGCTAATTTATGCGTTTGCGTAACTTCTATTTCTGGTTGCAGATTATCTCCAGTCACAATTAAGCACACGATAGACCCATTTTATCAACCACTACTCGATAAGTATCCTGGGATACACCGAACGCAAAGGGAGTTACCATGTGTAACCAGCAACGCTACATATCATATCACGACTACAGGATCGCCTGTATTCTCTAAAGCACGCCGACTAGCTCCAGAAAAGCTAAGGTTGGCCAAAAATGAATTTGACCACATGATCATACGACCGTCAAATAGCGCATATGCATCTCCGTTGCACATGGTCCCTAAAAAGGACAGCAACGATTGGCGTTCAACTGGTGACTATCGGCGATTGAATGCGATAACCATTCCCGATCGTTACCCAGTGCCTCACATTCACGATTTGACAGCTACGTTGAAAGGTACAACTGTCTTTTCGAAAATCGACTTGGTTAAAGCGTATAACCAAATTTCCATGACCATTGACGACATTCCGAAAGCAGCTATCATAACTTCCTTCGGACTCTACGGATTTTCGCGAGTGCCTTTCGGTCTAAGAAACGCTGCACAAACCTTCCAAAGGTTAAAAGACGATGTCTTTCGAGGTCTCAACTTCGTACATGCGTATGTTGACGAAGGTCCGAAAGCAAGTCCGGACAAAGAATCGCATCTCAAACATCTGGATCTTGTTTTCGACCGACTACAAAAACATGGCATTACTGTAAACATTCAGAAATGCCAAATCGGAACTGACTCATTAGACTTCCTAGGACACACTATAGGTGCTCAAGGCGTCCGACCCCTTAGAACAAAAGTGGCGGCCATTCTGGATTACTCAGAACCGACCACCATCAGGCAATTACACACGTTTAACGGCCTTGTAAGTTTCTATAGACGATTCATACCGAAATGCTCGTTACTTATGAAACCACTTACCGACCAACTTCGTGAAAATGCGAAATCCATCACGCTGGACGACACCGCGCGAAAAGCATTCTCCAAGCAACAATGCTTGTTCATCAGGACACTGAAGCACCCATTAGTATCGCAGTAGACGCATCCGACTCAGCAATCGGAGGAGTCTTACAACATTGGGTTAACAACTTCTGGCAACCTTTGACATTTTTCTCTAGACAGTTGCTCGACACCGAATCGAGGTATAGCACATTCGGTAGGGAACTCCTAGCTATGTATTGTGCTGTACGGCATTTTCAATATTATATCGAAGGTCGTGAATTCACCCTTTTCACTGACCATAAACCTCTTACTTTCTCCTTAAGCTCCTCTTCAGACAAGTACTCACCTCGTGAGTCTCGACAACTAGAATACATTTCGCAGTTTACTTCAGATATTCAACACATTTCTGGTGCAAACAATGTAGTTGCAGACGCCTTGTCTCGAATAACTTCCTCGAACAGTTTCCAAGGAATCACCCAGCTTCAAACAGAAGACACTGATCTTCAGCACGAGTTATCGTCCACAACCCTCAAGCTACGCATCAAACAGATGGGAACAGGTAAGGAAACCTTACTTTGTGACACATCTACAGGTAGGAATCGCCCAATCGTGCCGAAAAATTATCGACGCAATGTCTTCAACACATTGCACAAACTTTCTCATCCAGGTGTTCGTGCAACCATCAAGCTTATAGCAGAACGGTTTTGCTGGCCTGGCATGAATAAAGACGTGAGGGAGTGGGCACGCTCCTGTGTAAGCTGCCAAAAATCTAAGGTTATCAGACACAATAAATGTCCCTTAGGCTCGTTTAAAACTCCCGATGCTCGTTTCGACCATGTTCATCTGGATTTGGTAGGACCTTTACCAGATTCAAATGGATACTCTTATCTCTTAACCTGCGTAGACCGTTTCACTCGATGGCCAGAAGCAGTACCTATCAAGGACATCACTGCTGAAACAGTGGCCCGCACCTTCGTCGAACGATGGGTAGCAAACTTCGGCTGCCCTTCAACCATCACTACAGACCGCGGACGTCAGTTTGAATCTGAACTTTTCCGTCGTCTGACCACACTTTTAGGAATCACTCGCTTCCGAACGACTGCCTACCACCCACAAGCAAACGGGTTGGTAGAACGTTTTCACCGACAACTGAAAGCTTCGCTATCAGCTGCAAACGTTTCACAGTGGACCGACGCTCTTTCACTCGTCTTACTAGGTATCCGCAATGCAGTGAAAGCTGACATTGGATACACTGCGGCTCAACTCGTTTATGGAACGAAACTTCGACTTCCAGGAGAATTCGTGGATCCTTCGTCCTTTTCAATGAACATGGATCTAACCTCCTACACGAACAGGCTTACAAACACAACGCGTTCAGTTAAATCTGCTTCCACTCGACCTCAATCAACTGATGTTTTTGTTTAACCTGACTTACGATATAGTACACACGTCTTCGTACGTCGAGACTCGCATCGACGGCCATTCGAATCAGCATACGAAGGACCCTTCAAAGTTCAACAACGCGAACCTAAGTACTATATAATCGATAAGAACGGAACCAACGATAGCATCAGCATCGATCGCTTCAAAGCAGCGTATTTATAGAGAAATCCCATCCATGTCGAGTTTCCTTCGGTACAATCGAACGACACGACTCCGACACTTATAATACCTCATCCGACAACCAACACGCATGATGATACTTCGACAGTATCTGAAACTAAACTTAAAACGACGCGTTTTGGAAGAAGAGTAAGATTTTCAGAACATTTAAATGACTATTGCACGTAAGACACTAGTTAACATTTTGTTTCATC